CCACCCCCCTCACCATTACAGACATTAATGAGTTTAAAATTTTGCTAATTAGGAGCTTGACAAATTAGACTGCTATTTCTTCCTTTTTGTAATTACAGACTACACGAAAATAACAATGCTTGCCCATTACAGGCCATAGAAACTAGTATCTGTCATTGTTAAATATACGAGGTAACACCTAATACTCGATTACAGACATAAGCAAATAGGCAATGACCTAATTATAGGTTGTGGAAATCAAGGTAGATTTTTCAGATGAACTATTTTGAATTATTTTAGTAAGCCGAAGGGATATATGGGAGTTCCACATTTTAGCCCCAAAGAGGCTGCGCTAACAAGCTTTTTCATGTGAAGCTATGTATAATTACATAGTACTTCTTTGTTTTCTATTTACTGACAAATGAGTGAATATGTATTTCAACCAAACACATTAATTTCAACAACAATAGAAAAAAATAGCACCACACAGAACCATTTTTGAAACGAATTCGAAACCTTAAAACAGGTTTCGTCAAACTCCAAGATAGTCTCAAAACGATTATAAATAGCTCAGGAAATTTTTTCGAAGGTATTGTGGAAAACCTAAGGAACCTAAAACTGGTTCAAAATTCGTTTCAAAGTTCGAAACCCTTTTTAAGTTCAGTGAGAAAATTTGAAACCTTTTATGACTTTCGCACCGAGGACGAAAACGTTTTGGCTCCGTGTGGTGCTATTTTGTTTTCAGTGTATGATGTATATTGTCCAAGTTCCATCGGATATTGGACAATAAAATCATCAGCCAAAATTGATATTGTCGTCATTCCTGAAGAATTTCGACAAATTCATAAACTCAACAATTTTGTCCAATTTCCGGTGCAATTGGACGTTGTCGAAATTCTAGTTGCCAAAATTCCAGTTTCCCGTCGCAAGAGACACGCCGCGAACTGCTTGTGAAACTATGCAACATCTAGATTTCAGCCATTCCATACTGAATCAAAAGACTAGACAACCAGAAAGTTTTAAAAAATAACTTTTGTCATTTCCTAGCACTCAGGAAGAGTTAAAACATATCAAATATAGATATATATTGGGAACGCATCTAAAGTGACTATGAGTATTTACTTTGTGGCAACCACACGCCCTTTTTTACAGCAACACAAGATGTTTAACATTTATGGTTTATTCGATATGTAGAAAAATAAATAAAGAAAGGTATGAGGATGCACACAGAAGAACTATAAGTCATATATTCAAGCAGTGTAATAGAAAAAAATCATTCAATTGAAAATTAAGGATTAAATGTTTCATTGTTCTGATAGAGACTCTTAGGTTGTCGAACAGTATCTATAGTTTGAATTAACCACTGGCAATAGATAAAAAATATAATAGCCATTGCAGTTGACAGCTGTTATGGGTGCTAATGAATAACCACAAGGAGTTCCTGTAAAAAAGCAAGCAGTTCCTGTTACTGATGCACCAACTGTAGACGGTAGCGTTCCGTTGAAATAGCCAGGATAACTAGTACCACAAGTACTTGTGGTTAATACAGGGGTCGTGAGAATTGATGAACCTGCAGATCCTGTAAAACGATACCAACCAGGGGTTATATATGGCGAGGTATCATATGGGGACCAACAACAGCCATAACCATTCTGATAATTTCGATATACTTCATTGAGAGTTGAATAAGTATAGCATTGTATTGGTAAAGAAACTAAAAAGGAAGCATTTGAAATTATCACAGCATAGAACACAGTTTAGATAACAATGTGCCACAAAAAGGTCTCTTCCCATGTAAAAGAAAAGTGAAAAGTAGATTAAAATAAATTTTTAGAATCATAAAATAAACGATTCTAATTTCATATTTAATCATGTTATTTATATAGGGGTTCTGCTCATTTCATGTAGAAGTAATGATATTATATTTTATTTCGGTGCCCTAAAATTCTTAGCTTTCCTTGTAAAAAAATCTGGCACGAGTACGACGATGGTGTGTGAAGCAAAGAGGGAGTTGCTATTGGTACCTGAAACTGTTGCAGTTGTTACAGTCGAACTTGTTTTTGTTGTTGTCGATGTTGAGCGGCTGCTCGCCCTAGGAAATGAACGCGAAAATAATTAGAAAAAAAACAAACATGTGATATTTTTGTTCTTGCCAGAGCGTTACAAAAACAGCTACTGGTATGCCACACACAATAAATCCAGCCATTAAGAAAAGCATTTTTGATGAAGTCACTTTTGCCAGTAATTTTTGGCAGCTAAATGAAGTATTAAAAGGTTCCGGTTAAAACTTACAATGAGTAGTTTTTTTTTAAATAAATCTGTAGGCTTCACAAAATTTAATGTTTTTTAGAACATGTCGGTAGGAGTAATTTCCAGCTAATAATCTATGCATAAAGTGAGTTTTCTTAGTGAACCAATGACAGGCACATGAAGACTCGCGTCTGATCATAGTTGATGAGATGCGAACAATGACAACTTTGACTTCAATCATTATCCATCAACTTGTAAAAGAAGATGACTTACGTCAAAGGTGAGTTTTCATTTGTGGGCTTATTTATCTCATTAGGTTTACCCATAGTTGAATCCTGCCATGCATGCATTGGGGCCAATTGATTTTGATCTGCTGGTTTGTATTGTGGTTGACCCATAATGTTCGATTGGGAATTCAATGAATAACCTGAATTTGTATTCCAATTACTTAACCGCGACATTTGATTGGAAGGAGGCTCTGATCAATTTCTAGGTGCGAGTTGTAAAGGATACTCCGAGTTTTGTGGCGTTTTCACGTACGGATGAACTTCATTTAGATCCTACACATATTCAATAAAATTGAGCACGAGAGGAATTTTTAAGTAACACTAACAAATTCATGCTGATGCTTACCAGAATGTAGCTTTCAATTGAAAAATTTTAACAAATGATTGCGAAACAGAATAGTATTGTTTCAATAGTTTCTGTCTTGTTTTTATGTATGTATAATTGTTTGAAACAATACTGTATGATGCTATTTCATGTCGCCAAGAAAACAATTTGTATTGCTTCGCAGCCTAATTTTAACTTGCCGGTGAATGTATAAGATTTGATTATAGAAGACATAAAAGCATACTGTGTAACTTTTTTCTGCGCAGATGTTCAGAAGTTTCACAAAATCAATTTTCTTGCCTCTGTACTATAGAAGGATTCGCAATTGTTTACCAGAAAAAGTAATCAGTTTTTCAGTCCCGTAATGTTAGCAGTTGTTTTTATTCGACAACTGGGTAGGGGTGCTGTATGCGTAGTCATCAAATAATTCTAATTCAGGTAGAAAGCATGAAACCAGCATCTCACAATGTAAGCAGCGATTCGATTCGCAATTATAAGATTGATTTAACACTTATAGTATAAAACAAGGAGTTGAATACAGAAAATCGCGTGCATCTACTCTCACACGATGCTTTCCTATTAAAAATTAAGAGTTGAGTGGTCCCGTAACAATAGAATGCTCTATGATTATTTCACAGTATTGTTTGCGTGACTACATCTCACTTTTGCATATGAAACTAATTTAATATTCATACAAAGTCATCTCGAATCCTCACAAGCTCGGGATACCTGTTCTATATGCAGCTCATAACCGTACCTTCAAGATACCCTGTTTTACACTGATGATTACTGGCCAGTAGTGACTGCGTTTTTTGCGATAGAAAAATCAAAAGCTTACTATAATATTGTTTCAGTGAGTAGTGTGATCTGATAGTATGGCAACAGTGGAAACATAGGTGACTTACTGTTCGAAGTCCTCACCTATTTTTGACTGCCAAGATGAATATGGATACTTAGAATATCCATGAAACTTTTTCAAATTTTATTTTATTGTTCGAACTCTGTATAATGATCCAATAATTATGTAAAATATATTAAATAAGAGAAGTGAATAATTTCGAAATACGATTTCAAGAAATGATATTACTGAACCAAAAAAAATTGCAAGTCTAATACCATCGATCAAGCAAACGATAATATGTACGAATATCTATTAATCCAGAATCAATCTTAAATGAGAAAAATATGAGTAGTTGCATTTTCAGAGTTGTCGAATATGAAAGATGAGACTAATTTAGTTATGTCCATGCATAGTGATACAGAAATGCGTACTAAGTTGAATCAGAGAGTATTGGTAAAGAAAAACGATGCTATTGATAAAAATCATTTGGTAAATGTCTGATCATCGTTAACTAGATCGACTTCAGCACAGTGATTTATTCGGCTGACTATTATGAGTGTTCATTTATATTTATTGATCTCTGTAATAACGAGTAAATATAAATAAAATGTTCATATTTGAAAAATAAAGATAAATAAATCAGATAATCGAAAAAATAAATATAATATAAATATAAAGTTAACAAGTTTTCTATGAGCGACAAAGAAACAAATACTTGATATAATATAACAGAACACAGGTTAATTCGAGCAAGTTCATTCAAAAAGCGCTGTTACAAAATATATTTCGTGCACAAAACAGAGGTCTTTAATCTAATCAAATCAGCGGAGTCTTAGTAAAGGAATAATAACGAAATTATTGTGCAGTGTTTTCAATTCATTTTCAGACCGATATTTCTATCTAACATCAACTTGTGATGTCGTTAAAGGCTCCTTTAAATCCAAATCAATTATTGTTCCTTTAGGAGATAAAGATCTCTCCATGACGAATACAGTTTCACGTTGAAATTGAACAGTTTTTTTTAGAGCAGATACTTGCTACATACAGTATTTTTTACAGCTAACAGTAGTAGTATTATCGCATTCCTTTGGAAAAGTTCTCAGTGCCAGTTTTTTTTTCGTGTAAAGCGAATCTCTATTTCTTCTTTATTTTTCGTACTCTCAAGAAAATTGACAATGCTTCTCTTATTTTTCTATTTCGAAAAGACTTTGAAAGTCAATAATTATTTTAATTACAACTCCTTACTGAGAAAGAAAAAAAGGTGTCATACTGAACCTTTTAGGGTTCTAGATTTGGGTACTATTTTCAGAACCATTTAAGGTTCAAGCAAAATCTGGTGCTTGCTGGAACTTTTTCCTATTTCTTCCAAAAATGGTTCTATAGTAGTAAAATGTAGTCCAGCACACTCAATTAGTCTAGTACTCTAGACTAATGTTTTACCCAACAGTTAATTTCATACTTAATCCCTTATTCCTAACCTTAACTCATACTTATATCCGTAATCATAATTTCTAACCTTAACCTTTACTTCTATCCTTAATCTAAATTCTATGCTTCACCACTATTTCTATTCTTAACCTAAATTCTATCATTAACCCTTAATTCTATCCTTAACCCTAATTTCTAACCTTAACCCAAATTCTATCCTTAACCCTCATTTCTATGCTAAACCACTAAATTGTATGTGTTATATTTACCCGGATTTGTTGTGAGCAGAATACGAGCCAGCCCTTTCTCCTTTATTCGCACGAAAGGGGAATCGCCGTTACTTGTTGTTGAGACGATTCTAAACAAAAAGCAAGAGGAGTAATTGATACTGTAAGATTGAACTTACCATGAGATCAATTATTCACATATGCCTAAATAGAAAAAAAACATTAATTCATTTTGTCATATTGAACTTGCATTTCAATTGATTATTGCTACATACCCAAATAAAGAACATATTGACTTCATTTTACCAGATCGAAATTACTTTCTATTGATAATTGTGATATATGAAAATAGAAAAAATAATAAGCGCATTTTATACGTAATAACTTACCGTAGAATTGATTATTAAGACGTACCTACCCATATCCATCAATTACACTGTAAAAAAAATTCGTAGAACAATAAACCATAGTACGTTTAGAAAGTCTTCCTAAACCCTTAAAAGGTTTATTCGCGTTTGCTAAACCCTTTAAGGGTTTTTGTGTGAAAGGGTTTCTGAGGAAAAGGGCATTTGAAAATAAAAAGGGTTTATGAGTAGCAAAAAATGGTTTATTGTTCTACCTTTTGTGAAAAGGGTTTATTATTCGATGATACAGGGTTTATTGTTCTACGTTTTCATAAAAAGGGTTTATTGTTCTACGGGACAGGGTTTATTGTTCTACCTTTTGTGAAAAGGGTTTATTGTTCTACGTTTTCATAAAAAGGGTTTATTATTGTACGGTACAGGGTTCATTGTTCTACGGTGCAGGGTTCATTGTTCTACGTTTTCATAAAAAGGGTTTATTATTGTACGGTTCAGGGTTTATTGTTCTACGTTTTCATGACAAGAGTTTCTTACTCTACATTGAAGGGTAAACTAATATGCCCTTTCTTGAAAAGGGTTTTCTATTCTACGGTGAAGGGTATATTAATATGCCTTTTCTTGAATAAGGTTTTTTATTCTACGGTGAAGGGTACACTGTAAAAAAAAACGGAGAATACTAAACCCTAGTACTAGAGGTAAATTTTCCAAAACCCATAAAGAGTTTCTGCTTTTCTAGGAAACACGAAAAGGGTTTATAACCCGACGGGTTTATGAGACTAATGGTATTTGAAGAAAAAAAGGGTTTAGGCGGCGAAATTCAAAGAGAAGGGTTTAGCATTCTACGGTCAAGGGTTTATTGTTTTACCCTTGCACGAAAACAGTTTAATATTCAAGTCAAGTCAGATCGAAATTTTTTTATATCGGACATGACGCCATTTAACGAGGCGGAAACAGCGGATTTTGGATTCTGAAAATTCAAAAACCCAACGCAATGTCTCGTTCCAAATGATGGAATTTTGTGCTGATATTTTTACAATAAGTAGGCCTCGTGATTCTTAGAATATCCTGAAAGTTTCAGCGCAAACGGATGTTTTCTCTTGAAGATAATGCGATTGCATAAATCAAGGGAGAAAAAATTCATTCGGCTAT